CCCTGGGGGTGGGGAGGGTTCTCCAGGTCCAGCCACCAGCAGAGTTCCCGCCAGCCTTCCCAGCTCTCCCTGTAGCTGCCTTGACTCCTGGTCTCAAGAATGCAGAGGGCTGCTGGTGGGGAAGTTAATTGGAAACAGGGAAGCATGGCATTCCTTTCCAGCCGGCCTGGGCTTGGAGAGCAACTGGGGGGCTGCCTTGCTCCCTCTCCTGCCCTGCAGGGGAGAGGGCTGGGGGGCGTGGTCGTCTCACCCCCGTCTCCTTGGGGCCTTCCCCCCACCAGACACTCTCACTCTTAGTAGAAATAGGAAGTTCCTGAACTACACATCCACGGTGCAGAGCGTTCCCAAAAAAAAGTGCCCCCCCCCCCCCCACTTATTCACTGTTCATCGCCGGTCCGTCCCCTCTCTTGGAGGGCGGAGGGCCTGCCTGAGAGCTGGCTCCCCAGCATAGGGTGCGTCACACGAGAGACACATGGGAAATGTTTACTTGAATTGTCCCCAAGGCTCCCCTCCTCATTCCTTCTCTAGACTTCGCCCCTGCCTGGAGTCCCACCGTTAGAGTGTTGTCCCCACTGACTGAAGCCTTTGTGTCTCGGGGCCATGTAAGTCTCCCCAATGGGGAGAGAGTGTTTGCTAAGACATTTCTAGTTTTGCTGACAATTAGTTTTGTGTAGTTTGTGTATTCATGGTGGGGGGGAGGGGGGGAGAAGGGGATCTGTTGGCAGGAGCAGCAGGGGAAACTGCCTTTGTTTTTTGAATTGTTCCCAGTGAAACTTCCTGAGGGCCTACTGTGTGTCAGGCCCTGGGGCTCAGTTAGGTTGTTGGGACCAAGTCCAGGGGGAGGGCCTACTGTGTGTCAGGCCCTGGGGCTCAGTTAGGTTTTGGGACCTAGTCCAGGGGGAGGCGAAAGGCAAGTGTTGTTTTCGGGGCTGTATTAGCTGTGTGGGATTTGACGAATTCTGTCGGGTAGTCTGTGCCTCCCCAAGGAGGAAGCAACTACTTTCTCTCCCCATCTCTCTTTTTTTTTCTAAGCGATACAGGCACGTGGGACACATTCAAAGTAGTAAGTCTCCGTCTCCGTTTCACTGGCGTCCCTGGGACCCCGGCTTGCCTCCCCAGACGCAACTCCTCAATTCTGCTGCTCTGCACACACACATTCACATCTGTGTGTCTGTCTTTAAAAATGTTTATTGTGCACAGACGGTAGCGCACTCTTCCCATCATCCTGCAGGTGGCTTTTTTCACTTCAGCTCCCTGGGAGACACTACGGTGCTGCACACGGAGGGTGTCCCCGTCTTTTTCTTGGCCGCGTGGTATTCCGCGGAGTGGGTGAATCCTCCTCGACTTGACATGGAGATGTTTCCCAAAGTTTCTGCGCGCAGAGAGGGAAGGCATGCTTCCGCGTGTCTTGTTGGGAAATGGACATGCCTGTGGGATAAAGTCCTGGAAGCGGGGTTGCTGGATTCTGAACCTGTCACCTGTCACCCGGTCACTCTGAGGAGGTCCCCTGGCAGCCGCATCTTGAAGTCGTTCCCCTTCCTGCTCAGTTCATCCCCCCTGTCCATCCCTGGGGTCTTTTCGTCTTGTGACCTCCTTGCCTGTTCCTCCTGCCTGTGTCCTGCTTCATGCACTTGCCAGGTGGTGTGGAGGTCAAGAGCGTGGGCGTGGGAAGCCAACTGTCTGTTGGTTCGAACCTTGGCTCTGCCACTTCCTGGCTGAACGGTTGCAGCCAAGAGGCTTGCTGACCCTAGGCCTCGGTTTTCCCCTCTATTAAATGGGTTCATCTCAGTACCTACTTTTGGAAGGTTGTTGTGAGGGTTAACGAACATGCATAAAAGGTTC